ATTCTCTTTTCGACCAAAACAAAAAGTTTTGTAATATGATATGTAAAATAAAGAAAATAATTGATATATAATTTTTGTAAAATTATGGCAATCATAATTTTAAAATATAAGTTGCATAAAAAGAATAACATAATAATATACAATTTTTGTCAATAATTATTAAGTATAATATAATATTAAGATATAAACTAATATACGAGTAGTTGTTGTTATATAATAGCAAATATTAATAATAATAATTACTATAATAATATACTTTAGAGTTTAGTTTATACTTAAAATAACTATAATTGTTGTAAAATAATGGCAAATATTATTAAAAATATAAGATATATTATATAAAAAAAAATGATATAAGGTCAATATAATTGTGTTCTGTCGTCGTCTGAGTTTTGTTAGCGCTTTTCATTACATTTGTTTGAAATAATTGTTTGAAACCAACTTAACAAAATCATACCTAAAAATATTTTAGTGATATATTTACTATTAAGAAATAAAAACGCATAGCTATTTTAATAAATTATATACTGTAGGTACCTGTCAAGTTGTCCGTTTTGATAATCTGATATATATTTTTCATTTTTGGATTTTCTCTCTCTGATTGATCGATCTTGAGTACGGTTTGGCAAGTGAACACTTCTAAGTTTTATATAAATTTCAGTTTGTACCTCATCAATTAAAACCGCAAGCAAATTAAATATGGATGGAGATTCTTTATAAAAGCTTCGATTGAAATTTGCATGGAAGGATTCACAGTTATTAGTCGTGCGTTGTAAACTAGAACTTGCTGATGCCCATATTTCTGGAGGATAGTCACAATCGTCTGTTAAATAGTTGTCAATGAGATAGTCTGCATATTTGATAACTTTATCATCTATAGGACGATCAGCCATAAAGTTTTGAAGAAAACAATCTAAAACATTATTTGGTTCTAGAAAAAGCAATCCAAAAGTGTGGCGCAACCATAATCCAATTTCTGAAGATCGGTCTTGATATTCAGTAGCCAGTCCTACTTTTTGGATTTGGCGATACCAAGCTTGGGTTAAGTGGAACCTACACCCAATAATTTGAATTTGTGGCCAAATTTCATGGACTGCGTTAATTATTGCTTTTTCATAATCTGTCGTTACATACTGAGGCAATAATGTTACACCTAAAGAAGTGCATTTCTGTAATATCAAGTGAAATGCATGAATGTAAGTTTCGGTAGTCTTGTTTGGAAGTTTAGCATCACAATCTCTTCGAATACATCGCCAACGTGTTGAATTAGTTTTTTTGTTCACTGATCCGATACTAAATTTATAACAATCTAAAACTAATAACGGTTTACCACGATTACTTTCGATAAATTCAGCCATATTAAGTAAAATATAATAATTTTGAACGTTGAAAACTATAAAACCGATGCAACGAGTATGATACACGCACAGACACTAAAGTATTATTGCACGAGCATCGGTTTTACAAAAATTAAACAAGTAACGAGAGAATTTAATCAGTTATTGATATTTTATCTTGGCTATAAAAGATAGTGACTCTCTACAATACGTACAATGATCAGTCTATCAGGTACATACTACATAATATACTGATATAACTATATATTATGGTAGTAACCATCACAGTCGACGATCACCGATCAAATGATTAATGACAACAATTATATATATATAGGTTTGAATAATTTTCAATATGTACCTATAACATAAAATATAACACCTATATTAAACTTTTTGTATTGTATAATTTTGTTGTTGTATTTTTTATAAAATATTATACGCATTATGACATATTAATGTCGAAAAGGGAATCGATGTTTTTTAAATTTGGTCGAAAAGTGAATCGGCCGAAAAGGGAAGGGTACG